TTCTGGCCAGCCTTGCCGTCTGCTTCTTCGCACCCTGCCGTCGCCCAAACGCCATCTGGACACCCCCCCCCCCCGACCGCTGCCATCTGGGCCGCCATCGCATGCCTGCACCCGCGCCCCCTATACCTCTGACAGCCAGCACACCGGGGCCACTAGCGCCACCTCTGCACGATGAATCTCCCTCACAGCTCGACAGCTCGGGGGAGACACAGCATTCACGCAGCAGCAGGGTGACGAGCCGAGGCGGGGCGGCCGAAGAACAGGATGAAATGATGCGAGCGCAGATTGATTAGAATGAATACGTATCGTGTATTCAGCAGAGGACAAGACAGAAGAGAGAAAGAAAAAAAACCAAACCCCCTTAGCAATGCGTAAATCATACCTCCCTGGTCGAAGCTTGGTCCTCTTCGTAAACTATCTCCATGCGCCGGGACTCCCGACATGTGTGTGTGTGTGTGTGTGTGTGTGCGTGTGCGTGCCTTGCGCGCATGCACCTGCGACGCAAAGAGAAACCCGCCATGTTCTCTCTCTCTCTCTCTCTCTCTTTTCCGGCAGAGGCCTCTTCTTTGGCCAGGGTGGTCTGTGAAGATATGAGAGACGCAACCAACCAAACCAACCAACCCCTCCTGTATTCCTCCGCTGGTCTCTCCTCTACGTTGCGACCCCGGCCGCGGCCCACCCCTGCTTTCACCATCGCAAGCCGGCCCCTAGTTCTGCTTCTCCGTCTTCTCGTCCACGCCCTCCACGTACGGGTGCTTGATGGTGAGGCACCAAATGTCGAGGTAGTCGCAAATGGTGACGATGACGTCGACGACAAAGCTGCCGTAGACGCCGACGGCCATGCCGAGCATGAGGAACATGTACGAGACCTGGTAGACGCCGTCGCCGAGGGCCGAGGGCCAGCCAAAGGGCAGCCGAGGCCAGCAGCTGCGGGCCCAGCGAGTCGATGACGCCAAAGGCCACGGGGATGACGAGCACGTTCCAGTAGGGGGAACGGCAGCTTGACGGAGGTGGCGCCGTGATCATCTGGCCGACCGAGTAGGCGTTGACGATGCCGGCGAAGACGGTGAACGGCACGAGGTGTTGTGCAGGATCATCGGGTGCAGTAGAGTACGAGCCGAGAAGCTCACGCCCGCGAAGAAGGGCCAGGCGAGGAGGCGCCGCGCGACCCCCGCGCGCGCCGCGGCTTGATGACGTTGCGCGTCGACTCGGAGCGTGTTGAGCACGAGCACGACGCCGCCCTGGATGAGGTACCACTCGGTGAAGGACGCGTTGTAGATGAACTTGGGCACAAAAGGGCAGCGCCGGCACGCCCAACGTCGGCAGCATCGACTGCGACCAGAACGACGCGCCGCCCTTGTAGCCCGTGACGGTGTAGATGAAGACCATCATGAGCACGCCCTCGACGGGTCCGTTGACGACGCCGAGGGTGAGCTGCTTCGTGTGGTACTCGTCCCACGTCTGCACGTAGAAGGTGAGGAGCGCTGCGGCAGCATTCTGTTAGCGACAGCCACATGAAACAACAAAGCGTGCGCCGGGGCGAGCCGTGACGTACCGGCGGCGAGGACCGCGACAGTCCGCCAGCCCTGGCCGAGGTTCTGCGACCCAGCAAAGATGAGGGCGCCGAGCGACGTGTTGAGAGCATCGACGCCGTGGTCGAAGAGCTCGCCGAGAGGGCCGCTCTGCCTGGTGCGGCGCCTGGTAGTGCAACGTGTCAGTGGGTATTCCTTCGTCTCGCACTCCCCCCCCCCCCCTGCAGGAGGTGGCCACCGCAGGAGGTTGGCTGGCCGGCTCATACTTACGCCTGCGATCCGTCGACGGCGTCAAACGTCTGGTACAGGAACAGGCCCGCAGCCCACGAGTAGTACACCCACGAAGGGCAGTCCTGGTCGAGCGTGGGGTTGTACCACAGCAGCGTCAAGATGTTGGCGATGATGAAGCTGAAGCCGGACAGCGTGATGAGGTTGGGTGCCATGCTCATGGGGAAGAGCTTGATGACGACGTTGGTGTAAAAGGGCTTGAGGATGTACTTGGACGTCAACGAGTGGTCGACCGACGCATACTTGTACTCCTTGAGGTTCGGCAGGAACTCCTGGCGAACGTAGACCATCTTGTCGGCTTGGCTGCCACGGGCAGACTGATTGGTGCGGTTTGCGAGTTATCGACAGCTGTTAGGGGGGGGGGGTTCGAGGTGTGCGCGACCTGGCGAGAGAGACAGTCTGCAGCGAGACAAGACATTAGCAAAGAAAAGAAAACAAGAGAGTCGAGAATGCGAGAGCTTCGGGGCCATACTCACGACGTGTTGGCAGACGCAATTTGCAGCGTGGACTGGGGGACTGGGACCGAGGGAGAGGTTGGTTGGGTTGACGAGAGAGGTGGTGGGCTCCCTTTTGACATGTGTGTGTGTGTTCGCGTGTCCTGTCGCGCGTGCATTTTTCTTGGACAAGGCCCGGGCAAGGGGGGGGGCACCCAGCGGAAGCCGCAGCCACTGACAGTCGACGTCATTTCCCGACCCGGGCTTGGCGTCACCCCACACAACCCTCTTTGCCGATGCTTGTCCAAGTCCCTGCCTTGTCCCATGGGAACCCTCCACGCAGGTGCACAGCATGGGCCAGCATGGGGCAGCATGGGACATCACGGTGGACGCATCACAAGATGGAAATGAGACGGGACAACGACTCCCCCTGCGCGATACCACGCTGGCCCTGCTTGTGCGAAAAGACGCTCATGACAGCTTCATTCTTCATTCTAACACAGCCACCTCCATCACGACGCTTTTCCCAGACCACCCTTTGAAAACCGAGGGTCAACCTGCTTCTGGCACGCATCGTCGCAACGAGGAATCGTCTGGCTTCCTCTTCGACTACCTGCAGCGCGCCATGACCCCGTACACGCCAGCAGCCGGAGCCCCTCATGCGACAGAGGCAATCACCAGCGCCGCCACGCCCTCCTCCTCGCTGCGTACCGTAATCTTCGTCGTCACACCAGACTTGGACGAGTACGCCATCCTCACGTTCGCCACCACCTTGCCGCCCGCAATCGTCTTGCCAAACAGCTTCAGCGTGTGCGTCGTCTGGTTGACGGGCACGTCCGTACCGTCCAGTGGCTGTAGAGACAGCGTCTTGGCCAGCTGTTCCGTCGCATCTGCGGTCTGTCAGCATATCCATCATCACACGCGGTCGGGGCGCCGGCAACGTACCCGCGATGCTCTTCATGCCGCTCAGTTGCAGCGTCTCCTCCGCCTCCTCGCCCGCCGCGCCGACCTGCTCCCAGATGTGGTTGAAGTTGCCGGCAAAGGCAGGCACGACGTAGTCGCTGCCCGCGAGGTCAAATTCCGACACCTCGTACTCGTCATCGTAGCCCGTCTCCTCCGGCTCGTTCGTCGTCGGGTCAATCTCCTTGCTCGTGAACTTGAGAATGTTGGAGAAGCTGCTGACGGGCAGCGAGCCCTCGCCGCCGACCTTCTGGAAGGCCACGTACACCTTGCCGGGCTCGTCCGTGGCGAGGCTCTCGGCCTGGATGATGAACACCTCCTCGAGCTCCTCCTCCTCGGCCGGCGTCGCCACGACCGACACGTTCTCGAGGACTGTCGCCGGCAGCGTGTTCTTGACCTCGTACTGGAGGACAATGTGCTCCTTGAAAATGTGCTTGACCACCGTGACGACGTACTCGGTCTCGGCCTCGGTGAGCTCCATGACAGGCGATGACTTGAGCACGCTGCCAAACTCCTTCATCTCGGGGATCTCCATGAGCTCCTGCGCGTAGCGCTGCGCGGCCGCCGAGGCAGACGCAGCCGCCTCGGCGCCCGACGCCGCGCTCTTGGTGGGGCCGACCTTTGGGAGGCTTGAGCGAGGGGGCCGTCGCTGTGAGCTTCTTGGTCCTGTCCTCGGCGTCGGCCTGCTCCCTGGTGACGACGGGAATCTTGGAGATGTCGAAGGGGTCGTCAAAGGTCGACCTGTCGTCGGACGTGACGTACATGACGAGCTGGTGCTCGAAGTACGGCAGGGAGAACATGCTGTCTGTGCCTTGTTAGCGTGCGATTCCACTTCACCACCAGAGACGCGACGACGGCTGGCTTACCGTTCTTGACAAACTGCGTCGCGAGCTCGTCGTCCTCGTGCATGAGGCTGAGGTTGAGAGCAGCACGATCTCTGACTTCGTCGTCCACGTCGTCCAGACACCGCGTGAGCAGCACGTCGACGCTGCGCTTGACCTCGGGGTCCTTCTGTCCGACGCCAAACTTGGCGAGGGCCGTGACGGCGGCGGCGCGCACAATGGCGTTCTCGAGGACAACACGGTTGTAGATGTAGCGAATGTACTTTGTCGGTTGGGACGTCTTGGGACCTTCGAGACCGAGCAGGTGCAGGATGCGGACGGCCAGCTTGGTGAACTCGCAGTCCTCGATGAATTCGCAGAGGTGGGCCAGCGCATCCTCCTTCGATTCGGGCACAAACTTGATGAGGTCGAACATGCTCTCGACGACGGCGCGCTTGAACTCGTAGCCACCCTCGTCACGGAGAATGCCGCTGAGGAAGGCAAGCATGCCGGCCTGTTTGCTGGGGAACTTGAGGCAGAGCGTACGAATGGCCTCGACAATGGTGATCTTGAACTCGTCCGTAATCTCCGACATGAAGCTCGAGATGTGCTTCATGAGGCGATCCACGCTGGCCTCGTTTCCAGTCTTGAGCAGGGTCGTGATCGCAAAGGTGGCGATGGAGCGGTTGCTGTTGGAGATGAGCAGCTCAATGTCGGGGTTGCACACATTGACGGCGTTGGGCTTGAACGAGGCGAAGTTGTGGAGGATGCGGAGGGCGGCGAACTTGGTGACGGCGCGGGGCGAGGTGAGGAACAGCTGGAGGACATGAACGGCCTGGGAGACCTCGGCATCCGTCACGTCCCGCATGTCGCAGATGGCCTTGGCGGCCTCGAAGTTGACCATCTCACTCTTGTGGCGCAGCCATCCGTCGAGGAGCTGCATCATGGGCTTGCGCAGAGAAGCGTCCTCCTCGGCCAGCTGGGCAGCAAGACGGACCAAGAGGACAATGGCGGCCGAGCTCTTGACAGCGCCGGCGGCACCAAACTGCTGGACCATCTTGACGAGGGCCATGCGGTCGTGCATGCGCATCTGGTAGAGAAGACCGATGGCATGGTATTGCGGCATGGTCGAGTTGTTGACGGGGAGCTGGTTGTTGGAGGAGGAGAAGCCGAGGGAGAAGCCGCCGGACGATTTGGTCGTGGCGGCGGCCTCTTGCGTCTCGCTCTGCCAGCGGCGGACGACGTCCTTGGCGATCGGGAGGAGGTGGTAGGAGGACACGAGAGCGGCCGAGGCCACGGAGGGGTTCTTGTCGACAATGGCCGTCTTCATGACACGCTCGATGGACTGGACGGTCGTAGCCTGGGCACGCACACGTTAGCTGGAGCTCCCCACCGGCGCGCAACGTAGGGGGGGCGGTGCATCGAGGCGTACATCGATGATGCGGCACAGAGCACGGATGGCGTTGGGGCGGAAAATAGCCTCGGTGCTGCCTCCGGTGTCTTTCATGATGGTGCTCGTCACCATGATGATGTCCTCGGCCGAGTTCGCCAGCTCCTTGATGACGAGGTGGACCATCTGGCGCAAGCTAGCATCTTTGTTCTGGAAGAGCTTCGAAATGCCGAAGAAGAGGGTCGTGGCTTCGTTCGTGGGAAACTTCTCCCCCGTGTAGAGGAGGAGGGCAATCTTGGTGAGGAGGATGCGGCATCGTCGCGGCTGGATGGGGGAGCTGTTGAACAGTCGTGCTAAAGGCGGTATCAGCCAGACCAGCCCAGCTCGGGGGCCCCAGGAGGAGGGAAGGGGGGGATGCCCATTGCGCGCTCACCTTCCTGGAAAACCTGGGTCCTGTCGACCTTGACCAGCCCCAGTTCGGCGTCTTCGTCCTTCTTGCCGTAGCTCATGGTGGGCGACAGGGTTGGCGAGGGCGAGTTGAAGGTCGTCGTTGATGGTCTGTCTGGACAGATCAGCTTCAGGGGATCCCACCGATGATTTGGCGGGTGCGCGTTGGCCGTCACGTGACGGGAGGTAGGGAGGACGAGGAGCTTGGTACGTGGCTTCTGGTCTACCAGCTGGTGCCGCTTGTATGCGGCCTGTCACGATAATTAAGGTACACATACATGTACGGACAACGCGTTGTGACCACAAAGTGTCACGAAGCAATTGATAGGTTGATATGAGTGGGAGAGGACCCGAAATCGTTTATTGAGTTGATATCGAGTTTCGGCCACTCAAGAGACGTCGCGTGGCTCCAAGTCCGCCAGCTGCCTTGTGTTACCGACGCCTTGACGTCGAGATGAAGCAAGCTTCAGTGTTTGGTGCACTTCAGTAGAAACGACGCTTTGTGGAGGTCACACGTAAGGGAGGTCATGGATAGGGACTCGAGTGTTTAAGTCACCGTTGAAGCATCGTCCAGAGGGCGAAGCCCGCAGACTAGCCACCGACCGAACAGCCTGGTCCGACCTGCTGAGGCGTGAATGCCTTGACACCGCGGCCCTCGACCACTGTCCAATTCGATGCTTCACTCAGGAACGCTCGAGACCATCCTGGTCGTCACTCAAAAGCAACGCCCCTTGGCGAGAGCCTCCCTCGGCAGATCTGCCGCCCGCGCCAGACTGTGAATGGTTCCCTCGAGTGGCTACGACGAAGACAAACATGATGCCCCGCCGGATATTGCATACTACGACATGTGGCTGACGTGGGCGGGCCTCGTTCGTGCACAGTGGCAAGAACCTGAACCGCCGACCCGCGCCAATTCTCACAGTGCGTGCTTGGCATGCGACCTGCGACATGCGTCCGGGGATCTGGACAGCGCCCGTCCCGACCAGGGTGGGACCTCTTTTACCCCCCCCCCCCCGGCTCCCGACGACAACAAAAAGAGGGGGAGAAAAAAAACAAAAAAAAAGGCAGCGCTGTTTTCGGGATAAGGGAGGGGGGACCACGGTTCGTCACGCCAGCGGGTGTGCGACGGAGGCTTCGTTCCAGAATGGGAGGATGCGTTCGAATGAGGATCCTCCCTGTGGCGATGCAACGGCCAGACAAAGTCTCCCATGGTGGCGACAACACGAGGTGCATGTGTTTCTTGGGTGCGATGATGGCTGAAGTTACCCCGCGGCTGCCCCGCCCCTCATCATCGCCATCATCGCGACAATTGTTCATGCTGATCCGCCCGTCGATGGAGGCACTTCCGGTGATGGCAATGCTGTGGAGCTTCCTCTTGTTCACAGAAGTGAGAGAAATGTGGACAAGATGCATCGCGTGCCCGCAGAGGAACGCATCGCCGTGGCCCCTGCAGCGAATGCATCCTCCAGACCATCCCGCGCCGTGCTCTCACAGAGCCAGCTCGTTTTGCATTCATTTCGCTTCCAGGCAGTGATGCGTCGCGCGCGTTGCGACCACTTGTTCGTTATCTCGGGCGCTTAGACAGAAAATGGAGCTTGTCTGGTGTGGAGGGCGGCAAATGCAAGGGCTGACCAGGCATCCTCCCCCCTCCATCTCCATCCTCCATGCCCAACTCAGGCGGCCTGGCCCAGCCGTGGTGCCTCCCAGCCCAACCACGGCCGTCGCCATGCGCCGGAACGGTCTGACTCACGCTACGGCATCGTCGCGACGCTCAGCGCTCGAAGCATACCAGAGCATGATCAATGAGGGTGAATGCAAGCTGTACCGGGTGGTGGCCGGATGACGTGGGTTTGTCCTCGGCCATCGCACGGCAAGGGCCTCGAGGGGATGCTCAATCGTGTTGATGAAACTCTCGAGTGCTTCATTCCTGACGACCTTGCTGGATGTCCTCCTGCTCCATTCGACAGAGCCGAAGCATTGCTCTGCCAACAACTTTGCGCACCCTGGTCACTGACGCCGCCGCCGCCGCCAGAATAGACCACG